TAATTGAACTTTGATGCTGATGTAGTTTCACATTATGTATATATAGGATGCACTCCAAAATCTTGTGAAAGTGAATCAATAAAAAGATACACAAATACAAATACAAGAAAAAGATTGCTAAGTTTGCATTAAAGATAATGTGCTTCTTAGGTACGTAGAGATGAGAGGTTGCCTTCAGCTTTGAGGCAGCTCCCTGTTCCTGGTTCTCAAGCCTCAGCAGATGAGCAAATAAAACTGTATCAGATGGCAAGCGGGGTTTTGAGGAGAAAGGAGCCTGATGGTGGGTGGGATGGAGATAGGATTAGCTACAAACAACCCTCATGGCAGTAGGACTACAGGGTTATGGAAAAATTTGTCAATCTTTTCAGGCCTGGTGAGCCATCTATTCAAACTTCTGTTACAGTAATTGAACTTTGATGCTGATGTAGTTTCACATTATGTATATATAGGATGCACTCCAAAATCTTGTGAAAGTGAATCAATAAAAAGATACACAAATACAAATACAAGAAAAAGATTGCTAAGTTTGCATTAAAGATAATGTGCTTCTTAGGTACGTAGAGATGAGAGGTTGCCTTCAGCTTTGAGGCAGCTCCCTGTTCCTGGTTCTCAAGCCTCAGCAGATGAGCAAATAAAACTGTATCAGATGGCAAGCGGGGTTTTGAGGAGAAAGGAGCCTGATGGTGGGTGGGATGGAGATAGGATTAGCTACAAACAACCCTCATGGCAGTAGGACTACAGGGTTATGGAAAAATTTGTCAATCTTTTCAGGCCTGGTGAGCCATCTATTCAAACTTCTGTTACAGTAATTGAACTTTGATGCTGATGTAGTTTCACATTATGTATATATAGGATGCACTCCAAAATCTTGTGAAAGTGAATCAATAAAAAGATACACAAATACAAATACAAGAAAAAGATTGCTAAGTTTGCATTAAAGATAATGTGCTTCTTAGGTACGTAGAGATGAGAGGTTGCCTTCAGCTTTGAGGCAGCTCCCTGTTCCTGGTTCTCAAGCCTCAGCAGATGAGCAAATAAAACTGTATCAGATGGCAAGTGGGGTTTTGAAGAGAAAGGAGCCTGATGGTGGGTGGGATGGAGATAGGATTAGCTACAAACAACCCTCATGGCAGTAGGACTACAGGGTTATGGAAAAATTTGTCAATCTTTTAAGGCCTGGTGAGCCATCTATTCAAACTTCTGTTACAGTAATTGAACTTTGATGCTGATGTAGTTTCACATTATGTATATATAGGATGCACTCCAAAATCTTGTGAAAGTGAATCTTCAAATGTGTTTTTCTTGTGACACATGTAGGCATAAAGTGCTATCTACTAGACTGGGGCTAATTCAGGAAAAGGGGCCATCAAATTACACATGATTGTAAGAATTTGAAACTGACAATGTTTTAATAGGGATCCTATACATGCAAAATGAATGATGTTTAACTGTTTGCGAAGGCAAAATGGTGTGTATTTGAAAGCCATGCCAAAATGCACAAAATATTATCATTGTTTTTATGGGGGTGCACGAGTGTGCTATGCATTTAAGCCTTTGTTATTTGGCAATTGTGGGAACTGTTCCTTTACTCTCTTGCTTATTGTCTGAACATGCTTTCTCCCGTGTGTACTGTGCATTTTGTTTTTAGAAAGCAGCAGTAATGTCTCTGTTTCTAATTCTTGCAAGTATTGGGGTGACAACGTTGCTTTAGAATTTTTATCCTTGACTCGATGAACTCTTTTGCAGCTGACAAATCCTAGCAGTGTTCAACTAACTGGTCAAATTTTGGCCGTCAGACGAGAAAAAGAGCTCCTTGTCCTGAACCAATGAAGGCTGCTGGAGTCCTGAAGGAGTCGTTATTGCTTGAATCTGTTCTTACATGGCAGTCATTGCTGATCAGTTCCTTGTGTAGATATCGACTTTCGAAAAGAATATGTGGTGGTGGTGGCCTTGGGAAGTATGGACTTTGGGCCGGCTGGTGCACTTGAAACTCAAATCTGTATCCAATCCTTTTAGATATAAAGAGAGTATTGAGGGTCTGAACTGCCCAGGCACAGTATCTGGTTTCTCATCTCTACCGTGTATCAGTATTTTGATGGTGTGGCAAAAGCAGCAACCGCTTTTGCTGAAGATCACAACTGGCTTTTCAGCTCCCAAAGCCGACACGGTAGCCATTGTTGGGAAGGTGTTGGATGAGAGATGGTTAAAGAATGCTTGTAGTGAAGAGAGAGTTGAGATTTGGCTGTGAAGAACTTGAGGTATGATGAGAAGCTATATATAGAGAGAGGACTAAGGTGGTGGGAAAAATATATTCTAAAAGATAGATAGTTCATTATTAACATTTCCAAAACAGTAAAGCATTTATCATTGTTTGAGAGTGACCTCACATATGTCCATGTAATATCTATGTACATGGAATAGCAAGTTGAACATAAGAAGATCCTTAATATATATGATAAACGTGATCATCATGCAATGGTTTTACATTCTCAAATGGCACCATTTAACACTGATGTAGCATATATATATATGTGTATATATATAATACATCCTAATTTGGTATCTAGAATGTCGGCTTGTGTGCTTTGCAAGTTGTCAATCTGGTGTTTCCAACATGGTCAAATTATGTCTTATTTCGTTATACATTTGTGTTCCTGCTAACTTACTCCTACAGTTTGTTTTGGTATGCATATTGTTGTATGTAGGATGTATATTTTCTAGTTTTATTTTATGACTTATTCATCCAATAAAGTATACGGAAATATAAAGATAGTATTAACAAAGCATCGTTAACAAATATATAGCTATCGGTGACATAATAAAAAAAAATGAATGGCCATACATATAGTACCTCATCGTCAACACTTTCAAAGGACTCAGCATCAGTGTCATCCTCATGATCTGACGGTATGTAGTCATCATCATCTACCCTAATTTTCTTTCCCTTTTGATGAACACGATTGGGCTGAGTAGAACCCATCAAAGAAGTTGCTATACGCTTCAATTGTAGAGCATCCATTTTCTTATTATTCTTCTTGATTGTCTTATATCTTTCCATTTCGTACTATGTTCGCTTCTGTTTCGCTAGAAAACCTGGTTTGATCCATTGTTTCTCCCCTTTGGCCATTTTGGTAACTAAAAAGCATAAATTGATATCAAACATGAAATATAAAGCATAATTTTACTTGAAGAGACGCAACAAAATATAGCATAACCATGTAATGCATTAAAAACATGTCCATATAGAAACCTGAAAAAAACAAAAACTACATATCATAATCCATATCAGGTTCCATATCAAGATCCATATCATCATCAAGTACGTCAAGTTCTTCATCTTCTTCATCATCTCTACCATCTCTCTTTGTTTTATTTGAAATAACCTCAGCTTCAATATCATCCCTATGAAATCGAATAATATCTTCAATGTTGATCGGGACAACTGAGTTAATGTTTTCTTGTTGGAATGCATCATTAAATTCTGGTTGATCTGGTGGTTCTCCATCACCAACCTCTGGCACATCAAACACACCTCTATGTTGGACCCGTTGCACGACTTGCCAAGGTTGCCCCCATTTGGTGTCATTCAGGTAGAACACTAGCTTAGCTTGACTAGGCAAGATAAAAGGGTCAGATTGATACCATCGGCTTGTGACATCGATGCTTGTGCAATATGTGTCAGCTCGTACTGTTCTACTTCTACCAGTGTTACCGGTGTTGTACCATTCACATTGAAACAAAACAACTTTATTTTGGCACATGTACTCAAATTCCCAAATATTGCACAAGTGACCGTAGAATTCGTGCATCTCTCCCTTGTAGTCCCCTTCGGTAAGCACACCACTGTTTTGACTCTTACGACGACTGTCTAATTCCTTCGTGTGGAATCTGACACCATTGATTATACAACCCGAGTACTCTTTCACTAGCAAATTAGGACCATTCGCTAAGGACCACAATTCTTCGGTTGCTTCTGGTGCCTCATCAACTCTCGATCTATTTATCTACATCCACATGCAATGTGCAACACTTGAATTATGTTAGTAATGTTTGTATTTTATACAAGCCTAATAGTGTTTGGCCAATTGTGAATATTAAAAATGACTTACATATTCTTTGAACCACTTTGGAAATTCCTTCTGTTGTATCTGAGTTATATCTTGTCCACTGGGAATTTGTAACAAATTCTTGTGTTCCCTACTCAAATAGTTTTTGTTAATGTGTGAAATATTACTATTATTAATGACTAATAACATGATAATTGTTAAAATATATATAATTATAAGAAACACGTACTGAAGATACTTCTCTATCTCAGGGCTATTGTATAATAAGAACCAATGAGCAATATCACGAAATTCCTGTGACATCTCAACATGCTTTCTGATTTGGCCAATAGGACGAGCAGTTTCGGTGAATATTATCAAACCTTCACGACGGACTCCATAATCTTCATTTCGTGCATCTCGATTATGCACGGTTTCAATCCTTTCAAGATACATTGAGCAAAAAGTAATGCACTCCTTGACAATGTAAGCCTCTGCAATAGAACCTTCTGGTCGAGCTCGATTGGTGACAAACTTTTTCAAAGATCTGAGAAACCTTGAAGAGATAACCAATTAGGAGTATGGTTAGGCACACAACATAATCTATACCTTTCATTTGAAAGTACAATTTTAGAAATTACCTTTCAATCGGGTACATCCACTGATATTGCACAGGTCCTCCCAGAATAGTCTCACGTGGCAAGTGAATGGCCAAATGAACCATCACATCGAAGAAGGCTGGAGGAAAGATCTTTTCAAACTTACATAGTATGAGTACTATACGTTCCTCTAATTTCTCCATTTCACTTCGTTTCAGTGTCCTTGAGCATAGATCTTGGAAGAAGCTACCTAACTCAAAAAGTGCTGTACTGATCTCTTTATCTACGTAACCACGCATCCCAATAGGAAGAATCCGTTGTATAAGTACATGGCAATCGTGGCTTTTCATTCCTGTTAATCTACCATTTTTTGCATTGTTAGAGAAAATTTAACCAATAAAACAGTGAGCTGAGAGTAAAAAGCAGATAACATGGCACAGAAAGAAAACCCACAATATGGCGGCTTCACATATGATCCATCGGGATTTGTTGTTAGCCACAATTCTTTCCTTATATTCATGTCTTCTAAATCCATTCGTGCCTTATCTGTATCCTTGTTCTTTCCATCAATTCCCAACATCGTTCCAAAAACATTTTCACTAAAGTTCTTCTCCACATGCATGACATCAATGTTGTGTCGAAGCCTCCTTTTCTTCCAATACGGTAGCTCATACAAGATGCTTACCTTTGTCCAATTTGGGTTCTGACGAGGTCTTTTCCTGTTGCTTGGATGTTTTCCATATGTGACACCCGTCACGCTGCCCAATTGTTCTTCAATCTTTTCTATCGGTATCACCAAAGATCTCTTCCGTTTTTCATGCTTGCCATTATATGCTCTACTCTTTCGCCTTTCTGGGTGGTCATCAGGCAAGTAGCATCGATGGTTACTGTACGCAGTCTTACTTCTTAAAGATTCAAAATATGGTTCATCATTGCAAGTGTAACAAGAGTAATGACCCTTTGTTCTCCATCCAGAAATGTCACCAAATGCGGGCCAATCATGTATCGTCCACAGCAAAGCTGCACGCATGCAGAAAGTCTCACCAGTCGAGGCATCATAGGTTAATGTACCATTTTTCCATAATTCATTCAATTCTTCCACTAAAGGTCTCATGTAGACATCAATATCAATTCCTGGTTGTGATTCACCAGGAATAAGTAATGACAACATGAAAAATGGGTCCTTCATAGCCAACCACGGTGGCAAGTTGTATGGAATGAGTACGACAGGCCACAAACTATATGAGTTATTCATATTTCCGAAAGGGTTGAAACCATCAGTAGCCAACCCTAGCCTCACATTCCGAGGCTCCAAGGCAAATTCAGGATGTTGTGTATCGAATTCCTTCCACTCATCACTATCTGCAGGATGCCTCAATACACCGTCATCTAGACGTTTTTCCTCGGCTCTCTTCCTCGACATGTACAACCTTTTCAATCTCGGTGTTAACGGGAAGTATCGAAGAACCTTACGAGAGATCTTCTTACCTCTACCATGATTTGTCTTGTATCTAGAAGCCTTACAATTTGGACATTTATCCAATGTTGCATTCTCCTTCCAAAAGAGCACACAATCGTTTACACAAGCATCAATGAGCTCGTATGACAAACCCAATTCACGTAGTATTTTTTTAGCTTCATAAGTTGACTTTGGAACCAAATTATCCTTCGGTAAAAGTTTTGTTAAAAACTCTAGCATCATGTCAACTGACTTATTACTCCAATGGTTTGTTACCTTCATATTAAGTATCTCGATGACAAATTTTAACAAAGTGTAATTTGTGCAACCTGGGTACACCTCACGTTTGGCATCATTCAATAATTTATCAAAAGTGCGAACCTCCTCCTCTTGAGTTGTATTAGTTGATTCCCCTCTTATTCGATCTTCCACTAAGGCATCAATACCTCCCAAAACCTTATTGCCCTCAACGGGTATATCATGATGATAAGCCACGTTTGATGCACGGGGTTCCCCATGCACGTGCCAGATAGTGTAAGTTGGAATAATCCCATGTTGCAGCAAATGAATTTGAACAATTTGAAATTTTTGATGAACAACATTCACACACTTTTGACAAGGGCACAAAATTTTACCATCTCGATCGATAACCGCCATTGCAAAACGGAGAAATGATATTACCCCATCATTATATGCCCGACTTATCCTTCCATCAACTGTGCTACCTAATGCAATCCAACTCTTGTCCATGTCTGACTATGCCGAGTTAATTAAAGTTAGGTGAATAGGACAAATTTTATATAGAAAAATATATATATACTTTAATTAAAAAAAAGTTCAAGTCCAATGATTATACTGAGTTATATAAATTACAACCACACATAAATCAAGTGAGAAAATAGCCAAAGCAATTTAGCGTAAACAGAAGAAGTATTCACAACCAAAACATAAACCACAGCAAAATAACCATCAATAAGAAGACAAATATCATAATTTGTAGAAAATTTAACCAATAAAGCAGTTAGCTGAGAGTAAAAAGCAGATAACATGACACAAAAAGAAAACCCACAGAGACCGACCATGATGTTTGTTACTTGTCTCATAAGTAGATATATGGCAAAACCAAGGGAAATTCATCTACAGGCAGCTAAGAGAGCAGTTTGATACTTAAAAGGGACTGTGAACTATGGAATTCATTATAAGAAAGGAGGAGATGCTGAGTTGTTGGTGTTTATGGATAACGACTATGTCGGAGATATTGAAGACAGAAAGAGTACATCTGGTTACGTGTTTTTAATGAGTTCAAGAGCTGTTTCATGGTGTTCAAAAAAGTAATACAATCCAAAAGAATAATTAAAGCAAATAAAAAATAGCAGCAATCATAAAGTGATATACAAACCTAACCAACCTACTGCCTGAGATTCAATAAATGTTCATTCATTTCTACTACTGTGAAAAACTCAATCAGAGAGACACCCATTATTAATCACATCACTAACTTAGAGCAACTCCCAACACTGCCTAGCAAAAATACACAAAAATGTAAACACATAGTTTTGTCTCTACTTTGGTTAGTGTGTATTTTAACTAGGGTCATGCTAAGTAAGAATTTTGATAATGAATCTATTTTCATTAAAT